TTTTTGAAATGGAAAATATAATTTATGAGGGGGAAAGTATGTCATAGTTGTTATTTAAAACAGTATAGCAAATCCATACCTCAAAGAAGAAGTCTGGGCATCACTTTTATAATCTTTGAAAATAAACCAACTTTATTTGAATCAGTCAATATCAATCAAGACTGGGAAATACATTTATAACCAGTTCAGATTCACGATGAAAACACTCAGCTGTATCTTCAATAAAAGGCATTTTACATTTATTAAGGCTCATAAGCAAGTCTGGTTATTTTATCACCACAGTTAAAGGTCTCAAGAGAAACAAGGAAGCATCATTTGGAGTGTCTTTATAAAATGAGATACTTGTTCTTATGCTAAATTAGTTTAACTCTCCAACAAATAAAATAGGACTTCCTAGTGGCTAGGATAGTAAGACAAATTCAAAAGTCAGAAGGATGTTTCTTAGTTTAAATATATGCATAATGGATACTGTGCAATCTCTAACTATACACAAAAATACCTTAGTTAATTGGATCCTTAAACCTATGTTTTGTCAAACCTCAGATTGTCTTTATAATAGAAACACAAATTGGCCCAATCCCTATAATGAAGCAACATTTAAGTGTGTGTTAGGAGGGCAGTAGAGGAGGTTTAGGTCAGGGGGCATTTGATCTGTTTCTTTAGCTGGCGTTAAATTACATTCTAAACATTTTGGATCCTATCTAATCATGAAATGAAAGAATCCTAAAATAAGGCTTGATGAAGAATATTCACAGTGAGAGGAGAATATGCATTCATGAGGTGGGCACTCATTGCTTGATTCAAACTCTGAGGAGCAACAGATAGAAGACAAAGGGCTGTGTGGGCAAAAAGGACCCTAAGGCAATGGTGTGCTCATTTACCCTCCACCCCATTGGACTCATGGTTCACCAGATGGAACAGCACATTTTTTGTACTTTAATGCCATCTTAAGGTTTGTTTTAGTATCATACAGAAAATAAAGAAATGATTCATTGAAAGTTAATGAACTTGGTTTTAACCTTGAATTAATGAATGCTCAATAGGGTCAGTTTTTGAGACACAAAAGGACCTCATCACATTTTTGTTTGAGCTGATTTGCTATATATATGACCCATTTCCCACCAAAGTTTAAAGAAGTTAAAGGATCTTTCCAAGTCAGGAGATACCATCAGGCTGATTCATCCTACTTCTGAGACAGGTCCCAGCCAAGGCGAAGAGGAATGCATTACAGAAATATGTTTTGGAATTCTGCAGCCACTGAGCCAATTTAATTTTGGATTCTGGTTTCTTATAACAGGAGTCTCTCGACAGTACAATTGGTTAACATGACTGGAAGCTAACTGAAAGCTTGGAGGTCTGAATCCTCCTAGACTTTCCCAGGAAGAAGAACCTGGTGACTTCCTTCCAAAAATATCAGCAACTGGCAAACCCATAGTGCACAGTTCTATTCTGACACAGGAATCAGAGTTTATTTGACAGCACGTGGCATTCACTTTGTCATGATGGGTAACTTCCCATCTCTGCTTCCCTCTAGATTCTACTTGGCCAAGTCTTACTGATTCCCACGACTTTTATATCTTCAAGTTCTAATCTAGGCCTTTAGTGATAATTATCATTTTGTGAAAATTCCAGGATGTTTGGTTTGTCTTCAGAATAAACAAGTGAGAAATGTGACATTCGTTTGAAAAATGGTAGAAAATGTAGCACATAAAATCTCTCTCGACACAGCCTCTTCCTACCAAAAGACCAAGATCCTTGCTGATATCAACAGCAGGAACAGAGTAATTTCTAGGGGAATTGAAACTAGTCTGGGAGATTTCATAGCCAAACAATCTGACTGACTATATTTTTCTCTTCAACTCATTTCTTTGCTGTTAGTTTATTGAGTTTGATTGAGTTTAAAAGAATTTTAAAAGAATCAGGCTTGTTTCTGTGATTCTGAATTGTTAGGCATTTGATTTCTTTTGTGGGAATAGTTTCCAGTAAACGGAAGGACGCTCTTGATCAACCAGGATTTGAGTTATTCAGCTCATCTTTTCTAGCTCCCAAAACCTCACCCAACATCTTTTAGCAACCTTAAAGACAGGCAGTGCAGGACGCGTGAGCAATTTCAACTAAATCATTCTGAGTTTGAATCTTGCTCCTGCCTCAGCTTCCTACTTAACCCCGCCTACAGCCAAGCAAAAGCCAAAGGGAAGACGTAAATGCAAAACAAAATAGGAACTCAACATAAACAACCCTCTCCCTGTGCGACTGACATGTCAAATCAGTATTCTTTCAAGGAGCAATTCCAGTGTTAGCTCCTGTCAAAAAGCTCTAACGAAAACTCCTTTACGCCCTCCTAGGTTGGTCCTCTGGGAAGGTCAGGAACTCTGAGCACTGTTTTAGGGAGATGCTTTATGATGATACTTATAGCCAAAACTAAAAAAATGCTGAGGAAGCTAAAAAAACTCATTTTAAAAAATCAGAGGGTAATATTATTAGTATACTTAAAGATACTATGATAAATATAGTTTTAAGATATTATACTTCTTTGTTACTAGTTATATTAGAAAATAATCTACTGCTTAAATTGAAAGTTCTGATCTGATTGTCCACAAATGCCTTCCTTTGGTATGGTTATGATTTTTTTTTTTTGCATAGCTTCCACCTTCTTTTAAATCATTACAATTGATCACATATTGATTGGTAGCATATCAGCTCAGTGGTGCTATTTACGTGAGAACTAACTTCACCACAAAAGGAACAACTGGAAACCACAGTATTAACTTGGTCTGGCATGTCTGCTTTATAGAAATGGCCAGTTGCTTAATTCTGAACATCATTCTGTCTTCTCCTGTGTGGTTTACTGCCTCTGAAAACCCACTGGAGGGTCAGCTAGGGGCTGGTTCTGACTCTAAGATATACAACAACATCAACAATCTGCTAACTCTCCCTTCAAGGTGGAGGTGTTTGCCCAGTGCTTCCATTTTTCTCTGGCCCTGTTCGTTGTGCTTCATGCAAGTGTCTCTCCAACAACCAAACTATAGGTCTTTTGAAAGTAAACTGCTTCTTTGATCACCTGGCCTGAGCTAGAAGTTGAGGGAAGAGTTTCTGAATGCAACAGGATTTCACGCTAATTCAGAGACCTTCGGGAATCTTTCAACCCTTCATCCCCAGAGGCCATTTGGGGCTTTCCCCTAGAGTCAAAAAGGCTGTTCTTGACCTTTTCCCCTTTCTAAATATCTCTAGGGACAGAACTTTCACGTAAAGGGCTTCAGCAGGGCCTATTCTGAGCTCTCAGGTTTATAACATGTCCCACTGAGAAATTTCCTCTCCCTCAATCAGTGAAAGGGGCCCTCCCACTTCTGTACCACTCTGTTCCTCTCAATGGGTCACATTTTCCCCCCTCTTCTTCTTCAGAGCTTCCCTAGAGGTAGGCAGGCCCAGGGATTTCCTGGGTTAGAATTTGTTGATGTTTCTATGGAAAGGACCCATGAGGTCCTGCCCTGAGAAATGAGCCAAGACCAGGCCTTTCCGGCACTCCAGGGCCTCGCCCTCCAACAACAAGCAACATAGAAAGAAGAATTGTGCAAGTCCTGGGCCTGTGAAGGATGGATTTCCACACAAGATTTTCACTGAGAAAGAGACTTGATAAGTTCATTTTTTTTTTTCAATTTTCCTTCAGATAATCCACATGCTCAGACCAGTTAAGCTTTTAAAAGGAGGTGGGACTCAACAAGAATGCTTAAGGAGTGAAACATTAACCAAAAATGCTACAGGTTGGAAAAATAAAAATAGATGGGTACACGATTTCCCCCCCCCCTTTTTTTTGCTCTAATCACATGGCTTCCCAGTCAGAAAAGCCCGTGGGCTTTCTTCCTCAGGTTTCCCATGATCATGTCACCTGAGAGAATGTATCTCTCAGCCATCAGAGGCTGTAGGTAAATAGTGAATCTGTCAGTAACAGATTCTGCCTGGTAAGCAGTTCTACATCCTAGAGAAACTTGGAGAGACTGGAAAAGAAATTTTTGGCCAACTCTTGAGCTTTTGCGGTAAGATTGGTAGGTACATGACGATGTCAGTCTAAGACATGGATCATGTGGAAAGACCTGCCTAGAAGATTCCCAAGGACATCAAGCTTCATAAAGAACCCTTTTGTTTTCACTCAATCTTCTACCTTCCTCTCCCACTTTCTCACAGACAGGAAGAGCACTCATGTTAAACACAGTCAAACCCAAGCATGTCATCTGCAATGACACAACTACCACTAAGCAAGCAAACCCCATGGCTGGTAGGCCCTATGGGCCTTTTGGCATTGACACTGCTCCCCCTCCCCTCCCCTGTCCAGTCATTTCCAATTTGAAACTGCATGCCAGTTTCCTTTCCTGGCAAGACCTGGATGGCACGCAAACCAGGATCAGTGTCTGCCATGTGCACGGCCTCATAGCAACATGCCCACCACTGCAGCAACTGAGAATGGAACATCTCAGGTGACATTGCAACCTTGTCATCAGTGCTCAATGTCAGGAGTGTCAGAAAGAAGCGGCTGAAAGTGTGTTGCCCAGATGTCCAAATCCACAGCCAATTGGTCCTCTTCCATTCACTCTCTCTACGTCTCCTCTAGCAGGGCAGCAGATTCTAGTATGAACGAAGACAGTATTCGTCCCCGGCCTTTGGAGTTACAATGAAGAGAGTGGAAGAGGAATCAGTGTTGTATTTTTCTAATGCATCTCAGATGGGTTTTTTTGATGTTGTAGAAGGGGCCAGTGACAATAATTGGAAGTGCGGGTTTTCCAACATTGACCCCAGATGCAGTGAGCCCAGGATGGGCCAGCAGCCTGAGTGCTGATTCTCTCTTGCTTTTGCTGGCCAGCCCTTGAATGATGAGACCGGCTGTGGTGGTGACCTTCAAGAAACAGGCTGGAGGCTGAAGGTCTGGTGATGTCAGCAAAATGTGGCCATGATACAAAAAAACAAAAACAAAAACAAAAACAAAACAAAACCCAATCCAAACCATTCCCAAGGCGATGTGGAAGAGGAGCAAGGAAGCTGGAGTTCTTTGGAATTTTTTTTTTCTTTTCTGAGCAGTGATGGGTCAAGATGGAGACGTCTCGCTCAGGACCGGCTTAGGCGCTTGGCGACATCTGCATAAGCCATCTCGATCTCGCTGTCAGCTGCACAGGTGTTAGTGAACTCATCTCGGGCGTAGGCATTTTTGAGGTACCGCCACAGGCCAGTCATCTCAGTGGGAATATTGTAGTTGCGGTATTTCTTGGCCACGATCTAGAACAGAGATAGCAGAACAGAGATGATGTGAAGGCATGAAAGAGACTAAGAGAGGGTGATAGAGGCCTGACTCGGCCTGTACTTGGCAGGAAAGTGCCGTGGGTCACCACAGGTTATCAGCATATCATCTGCAATTCCACGTGGCAATTCTCCCTGATAAGAGGCCCGGATGTGGTGAGCTCTGGTGGCCTAGTGGTAAAAAGCTGTGCTGTAATCCCAAAGCCATGCAGTTCACATCCACCAGCTACTATGTGGGAGAAAGATGGGCCACTCCTCCCATGGGATCAAGCACCTCAGAAAACCTGCTAGAGGGTGAGCTATGACTCAGCATATACAACTACAACAACAACAACAACAACAATGTTGTGAAAAAAAGAATGCTGTTGGCAAAGCAGTTAAAATACAAAGATCAGTGGTTGGAACTCACTCAGTGGGAACCAGATGTGGCAGTGTAAAGATTACACCCTGGGAACCTTGTATAGGGCAGGTCTACTCTCTCCCAAAGAGTTGCTTTGCAGTGAAACCACCTAAGAGTACTGAGTTAATTTTTCTGGTTGTAAGTGGTGCAAACAGTTCATGTACTTGACTACTAATGGTAAGGTGGGAGATTCGAGTCCACTCAGAGACACCTCGGAAGACAGTCTTGATTCTCTGCTTCAGAAACAATAAGCCAGTGAAAACACTGTGGGCACAATGCTACCTTGACACACAGGCAGTGGCCATGATTTGGAGTTAAGTGTATGGCAATGGATCGCTAGGTAAATATAATTTAGACTTTCGGTTACTTTCCCGCCTCCATCTCCAAAGAGTTCTTCCTTAGAATATAATGAAAATGCACACAAAAATGTAGCTATACAAAGGTGAGTGCAGGACAATTTAGCCAAAACAGTACCCAGCAATTGTTGTGTATGATTGGATCAGAACCAACTGATAGCTGGCCCTCCAGAGGGTTGTCAGAGGCAATTAATCACATGAGAAGAGATTGCCCATCTTGTTCCTGTGGAGCTGGTGAATTTGAACCATGTACCTTGTGCAATTAAATGCCTCTCAACACCTGCTGGAGGGTCAGTTATGGGTTGGTTCTGACTTGATGGTGGTGGTTGTTGTTGTTATGTGTCGTTGAGTCGCCTGTGACTCATAGACTATGCACAATTGTTTTGAACACTGTCCTATCTTGAACCAGCCTCACTGTATCTGATGCCCCTACCCCTATTATCATAGTCACTGAAGCAATCCATCTCATCCTCAGTCTTGCTTTCTTACACTGTCCCTCCATCTTTCCAAGCATAATGTTCTTTGCCAAAGACCGGTCCCTAGGGGAGCTCTGGTGGCCTAGTGGCAAGAAGCTGCACTGCAATCCCAAAGACTGGTCCCTCCTGGCAACATGCCCAAAGTATGTAAGATGGAGCTTCAAAATCCTTGCCTCCAAGGAACAGCTTGGTTTCATCCTCTCCAAGATGCTTGTTTGTTCTCTTGGCTGCCCATGGAACGTTCAACACTCTTCTCCAGCACCACAAGTCAAACACATCAATCCTTCTTCTGTCATCCTTAATCATTGTCCAGCTCTCTGATGTATTGCAAGTAATTGCAAAAATCATACAGCAACAACAATCTTTGTATTGGCAGCAGAGATCTGCCATGGAGTGGATTCTGACTCTTTGTAACCCTTGATTGGGTTTCTAACACTGTAAATGTTTATGAGAGAAGACTGTTCAGTTTTCCAATAGAACTGCCAATGGGTTTGAACTGCTGATCTTTTGTTTAACAGCCTAATGTGTAACACACTATACCACATATTCTCATGCAATGGCAAGCAGAAACCACTAAAAATGATGTTGTGACACCTAACTAGTAAAACGTGTCTGAGAATCCAAGTGGTGGAGGGTAGGAGCAGAGGGATGAGGATGAGGGGGATATTTATAGGGTTGCACAATTTGGTGGGTAGAGGGAGGGGTAGATTAAGGAAATGGGAAAGATCCAGTGTGAAAAAAAAATGTATATGAACTTGATAAGTAAACAAGTATAAAATAAAAGTTTTATTTAAAACCAAAATGATACTGTAAAGGAATACTTACAGACATAATAAACACGTCAGGATAGATCATTAGATGTACAATGATTCGAGTTATGTCTACCACTTACCACTGTATTCTCAGAAGTTCTGCCTGATTTGTAGAAGTACATTTTTTTCCTATCCATTTTTTTAAACAGCACTTGCTTATATAATGAAAAAATCCTATATAATAAACATCATTTAGATGTTAGAACGTATCAGGGCATGGTGTGGGAGTAAAGAAAAGAAAAAAACTAGAGTTATTCCTATATTTTTCTTAAGGATCCTTGGGGGCATAATCGTTAAATGCTAAAGGAAGATCTAGAAGTTTGAACTTATCATCTGTTCCATGAGGGGGAAAGCATGTGACAGCTTCCATAAAACCTATAACCTTGGAAATTCTGTTGCGCAGATCTATTCTGCCCTGTAGGACCACGATAACTTGGAATGAACTCGTCAGCAATATGCTTTGGTTTTCTTTTCTTTTTCAATTTTCTCTGTGGCCAGCTTCACTTGGCAGGAATTGACTAGGAAAATTCTGTAGATGTGGTGTTTACGTTCAGGGAAAGAGTGGTTATGGATCCTAACTAAATAGGTTTGCAATCCTTTCTCTGCCACTTAACAGCTGTGTGACCTTAGACAACTTACTTAACCTCCCTGAACCTGAATTGCCTTATCTCTAAATTGAAGAAAGTAGTAGGCCATATCTTAGAGGCATAAATTAGTTAATATGTATAAAATGCTTAGAGGAGTGCCTGGCACATAGTAAGAGCTCAGTAAGGATTATTATTACTATTATTATTGTAAGCATCAGAGAAGACCATAGGAGTTATTGAGACCCAGCTTTTACCCACAGCATCCATTTCCTTCATAGCAGAGCTATGGTAGCTCCTTCAAGGCTAAGTCACTTGTCTGAAAATGAGACTTACCTATATCACACATGGTCTTATACTCAGAAAGACCCTTACTCTTGGTCTAATGTTCTACTGTCACTGTTTTCACAGGTTTTGAGCTGTGGTGCTGGAGAAGAGTATTGAAGTACCATGGACTGCTAGGAAAACAAACAGATTCATCCTGGAGAGGGTTAAACTGGGCTGCTCCTTGGAGGCAAGGATTCTGAGGCTCCATCTAACATACTTTGGACATGTTGTGAGGAGAGAAAGGTCCTTGGAGAGGGACATCATGCTTGGGAGGGTGGAGGGACAGCGCAGGAGAGGAAGGCCCTCAATGAGGTGGATTGATTCAGTGACTGGGGTAATCGGGATGGGAGTGTCAGAGACGGTGCGATTGGCACAGGACAGAGCAGAGTTTAGGACTGTTGTACATAGGGTCACTATGAGTCACAAGCGACTCGACGACACACAACAACAACAACAACAGTAAAACCAGTTGTCATCAAGTTGATTCTTCCTCATGGCAACCTTCCCTTGGTTTCCAAAGGCCATTGGTCTTAATGGGGGCTGACTGCCTCATCTTTCTCCTGTAGTGAATTGGAACTGCTGCCCTTTCTGTAAGCAGCCCATAGAAGTCCAATACATAATACACTATGCCAGCAAACTCAACTCAAGCTATTGCTATCAACTTGGAACTGACTTGTAGCTAGGCTTCCAGAGGCTATAAACAGCATGAGAGGAAATGATCTATCTCGCTACCTCTCCAAAGTACTAAAGAGCAATGATGTCGGTCTGGAGACTAAGGTGTGCCTGATACAGGCCACAGTCTTTGCAATCACTTGTTATGCATCAGAGAGCTGGACAATAACTAGGAATGATAGAAGGAGAATTGATGCCTTTGAGCTGTGGTTTTGGAAAAGAGTTTTAAATTGACTGCTAAGAGAATGAACAGGTTTATCCTTGAGAAGGTTAAACAAGGCTGCTCCTTGAAGGCAAAGATTCTGAAGCTTTGTCTGACATACTTTGGACGTATACAAGAAGAGACCAGTCCCTGGAGAGGATGACATGCTTAGGGGGGTTGAGGGACAGTGCAAGAAAGGAAGACCCTCGATGAGATGGATAGATCCAGTGACTGAGTAATGGGGGTAGGTGTGTTAGAGATAGATTGGCACAGTATAGAGCAGGCTTTAGGACTGTTGTGGATAGGGTTGCTATGAGTTGCAGGTGACTCGACAGCACATTAATAACAACAACTACTGAGGAGAAGGTGGTGGATTTGAACCACCTGCCTTTGGATTAATCACTAGGCCACTGGACCTCCCCGATGTCACCAGAGGTTCCTTAATTGTTACCTCTTTTGTTGTGTGCCACTGAGTTAGAACTGACCCATAACTGACCCTCCAGCAGGCTTTCAGAAGCAGTAAATCACATAAGAGGAGATTGCCCATCCTACTTCCACAGAGCAACTGGTGGATTTGAACCACATGCCTTTGGGATTGCAGCACAGCTCTTTAACCATTAGCTCCCCCAGCGGTTCTTAAACTAGGGGATCTTCATTTCCAGTTGGCCCAGGAGCTGGGCCTGGCTCACACTTTGATGAAGCAATGACTCTGGCTGCTTTCTCTCCTGTCTTTCTTGAGAGAGCCTCAGATCACTGGTCCTGGTATCTCTCCACTCAGAGAAATCCTGAGATCAGCCATTCTGGACACCCTCAAATGACTGTGCCGAGTAAAAGAACATTGATGACCTAGTCCAGGAAAAAGGGAATGTCGTTTTTCTCTCTTCATATTCCAGCTACACTTTTGCATGTCTATTGCAACATCAAGTTATATTCTATTTTGAATCATCACATTTACTGTCTTAGTATCTTTTCTCTGTCCCTAACTTGTGAACGAATAAGAACTGGTACCACAGGTTCTTAGTTTCTCTTTTTTTGTTGTTGTGTACCGTTGAGTCAGAACTGACCCATAGCTGACCCGGCTGGCAGGTTTTCAGAGAAAGTTAATAGCACGGGAAGAGATAGCCCATTCTTCTTCCCCGGAGCATCTGGT